TGCCTGCTATTAAAAGCTATGTTCCACGTGTAGTAGTGCAGAGCATGCCCTCTAGGCCGGTAGTCCAGGAAGGTATTTTTCATTTGTTACACTGAGGGTTATTACTGTGATAAGCAGACTAATTGTTTAGCTAGCTTTTTTTAAATGAGAGGCTTTTGTGGGGACCAGCTGTAGGTAGTGCTAATTTCCCAGTGAGCTGCTAGTATGATTCCCTACCACCACCTCATATTTCTCTCCTTGTTCTGTCCAAACATGCACAAAAGCCTAGCTAGAAGTGGTCCTCCCCTTGCCCTCATGAATGCACAGGTGACTTCTGCATTACTTTGTGTGTACGTGTTCCTCTTTGAAGCTCTTTGTGTCACCTTTTGGGAGCAAAGATGGTCACCTAAACATTTCACAACTTATATTGAGTTCTCCAAGTGTAATTTGTTGTTGTTGTTAACTCCCCCAAAAGCTAGTTTGCTCGATGATTAGTTACCACTTAAAATGTTTTCTTCTTGTGCCAAAACTGTTCAAAGCCTTTTTTCTAGGTATGAATGGGAAAATATTCTGTATCAACCATTTTTGATAGTAAGAGGAAATTAACCTTTTCTAAAACCTAAGACAGCCATACCTGATTGCGCGTGAAGTCTTTTTCCATAGCTGTTTCAGTTTGACTTGGATGTGTGTGATTTAGACCTATGTTCAGTATTCCAAATGAAAGAATTTGCTGTGCTGCTTATTTTGTAGTTTTTTTGGTAATTTTTTGTGTGGAATGCGTATGCTCTGGAGAACTTAACCAAAAGAATATATGTTTCTTCTTCCCAGAAGGCCAGTTCATGTTTTTTTGAGAGGAGGAGGGGATGTTAAGCACTATCAGAATAATATCAAAATAGAATAATCACTTGTGAAAGTTATATTTAATACAATATATGATCAGTGGAGAGCGGATTTGAAAATGTTTTAATTGTGGTTTAACAAATGCTTTAAATATTGGGATTTAATAAAACTTTATTCACTTGTCAAGAAAGATGCCTCTAATGATCTTTTATTTTGTAACAATATTGATTGTAGGATTTCATACAGAATATTTGTAACATAAAAATTTTATTTATCAACAAAAACTTACCTATTGTAAGTCTGACTAGTTTTGGATAATCTTACACCCTCACTCCTAAGCGAGGCATGGAGGAAAATGAGAAAGGTAAGGCCACTATTAAATTTGCGCAAAGCCTACTATTGGAAGGAAGTGCAAGCAAAAGGATGAGGATACGGGGCAGAGAAGAACTACTGCCAGGGCAGAGAAGGGATACTAAGGAGTCTCTGGGAACGAGCAGAAAAAACATGAGCAGTTTGTGGTTCTCCATTTTGATACTTTTGATACAGCTTTGGGGTGGAAGGGGCTTTGAAAAGGGGAGTTCTGTTTTGGAATGATCTATATAAGAGAAGTTAGAAATTTTCCTAGGTGGAGGGGCCCATGGAGGGTTTGTATCCACGTTTATCTCTGTTCCAAATAAGGAAAAAAAACTTTCCTGTGTATTTGGAGAAGAGATTCTAGCCACTGTTAAATGGCTAATACAGTTTATGTGCTGGAACTATATGAAAAGTGTTTTCGAAGTTGAGGAAAAATATGCATTAGACACCTTGCTCCTTAATTCGGAGCATTAAGGTTGCAAAAACAAACACTTCCTTGGTTTAAGAAGGGACATTCCTCAATTCTGCCCTTTTCCCTGTGAGTATGCTCTGAACGTATGAGGTACGGCGTTATACCTATGTATCTAAGGGCTTGAATTTCCAACTAGGCATCAGTGTGACATGATATGAATAACCTGGCAGCCTAAGCTGTGTGCAGTTAAGTTGTACCTGTTAAACCTGCTTACCAAACTTGTAGACCCACTACGCCACCTTTGAGGGAGATGCAGAGAATTCGTTCCTGCAGTATATTCACAGTCATAAAAATACAGTGCTGACAGATCCAGGCACACGTTTGTGATGAGAACCATTTTGGCTTCATTGCAAGCCCTAGATTGTATGGTGTAAAGAACGGGTAGTTGTGCACTGACAATAAGGGAGGTCTGTTTACTACAGGCAGTGAATGAGGTGGATCTTGAGTGTGGTGGGTTTTTTGTTTTTTTGTGATAATACTGTATCATGAGGTATATGTGCAAGGAAGGTGATATACAGTTATGTTTGCAGCCTTAAGAGCATACTCTTTAACTGTTAACCACTTTGGCAATGATCACTTTCGTGACTGATACCTTCCTTTTATTGTTTCAAGAAATTCTCATTTCTCTGCCAGAGATGTCGGTCCTCAGAGTGGAGCTGTGTAAACAGTTGAGTCAATGTTCAGCACCTCTCCACAGCTGTCTGCAGTAAACAGAGCAAGTGTCTCTTCCATAGGCCTCTGATGTGGTTAGTCTGAGTGAGGAGGTTAGAGCGCAGCAATTTATTTGGACTTTTTTTTTTTATTTCCAAAGCTTATACTAGTTATATCTGCAAGATAAAAATAAAAACACTGTTATAAAAGGCAAGAAATGCCAGAATAGATCGCAAACATAGTGGTCTCTCCCCATCTCTCCTACACTCGCTCGCTCTCTCTTTCTTTCTTTTTTTTTTTTTTTAATAGTATTATTGTAGAATTGTGTTGTGGCACCAGGGTTCTGGATTTCATTTACTCACAGTAGTTCTGAGGCAGTTAACTCTGCATTAATGCCAGGACTTGCCACAGTGCCCTAGGGTAGCAAACATCAGAAGAACGTGAAACATGTTCTACTTGTTGTTCGTAAGGATGAATGGTTTTCTTATGGGATATACCCAGAACATTCCTGTCCTAGTGCAATATCCTCAGGAATCAAGATGTAGGCTATAAATTAAAAATCTGTAAAATGTCACTTTGATGTATACTGAAAGAAAAGTCAGCAGACCTGTGCATTCTGCATATCTGTGCATTCTTTGCAGTGCTAATTGAGTCAAGGTTTAACAGGCTGGAGTTATTACAGCAACATAATTTCCCAGGGAGAGTCCCCACATTTGAGTTACTTTTGTCCCAGAGCACCTGGTGATATATTTTTTTGTACTTCTCAGCTCTGTAAGGCCCCGATTTTATAGACACCTGGTATGTGCATACCTTTGTTTAGTGGGGAGTTATTTCAATTTCTGTGGAAGTGCTTTTGTTAAGAATTTATGTCTGTGTTTGTGTGACTGGGGCTTAAAAAGCTTCTGCTATGCAGATACTTTGCAGTTTCTTCAGTCTTATAGTTCTTGTTTCACTGTCAGCTCAGGGCGGTATCTTTTCACATTTATTTTTATATGACTACCACACAAACAATTGCACTTGTTTGGTGTTGGCAGAGTATTTTCGATTGTTATGTGCATGTTAAGACACATTCCACAACTTGATCTTAGGTTTTCTATGGAGACGTTGCCTATACCACAGTTGCAACTCACTGCAGTCTCCCTTCTCTTTGGAGTTTGTAGTCTTCAAATGTTTGTACGGTGTTATCTCACTCAGTTGCTCCTTTTACTGATAGTGTAGGGATAGGCATGCTTACTCAGTAATTTCTTCCTCTAGTTTTCTAGGGAGTGTAGTTTGTATTTCATCCTGTACTTTGTGCTTTTTTCCTTTTGGCCCGTGACGCAGCCTTACCGTGCGCCGGCTGCTTTTGCTGCCGTGTTGCACTACGAGTATGCTCTTAGCTGGGGGTAGTGGCGTTGGCCAGGAGCTTCAGTACTTGGAGCTTTATGGTTATACATATCTGCTGAATTTCGCTCTTTCCATTCCTTTCTCTTTACTCTTTCTGTGGTTGTACACGCGACTGTAACAGAATTGTTTACCCGTTAACTGGAAGAAGCGGCTTCATGGGGGAGGTTCTTCCCAGCTGTGTTGCCTGTTGGTCCCTACTCACCCGAGGGCAGAGCTCCCCAGGTGATGGATGCCTCGTGCCTCTGGTGCAGCGGGGGGCCACCCGGGGTTAAATGGTGGCCTACATCTGTTGTCTTTCCACCTTCATCACTTTTGTTTCATTGAATCAGTTTCCTAACCGCTAAGCTGCACTGTCAGTATGGGGCAAGGCAAGGCCTCTCTTTTCCAGGGTAAAGCAGGCCAGTGCCTTCCAACAGCTTTTGGTTTCCCCTATTTAAGGGTGTTTTTCACTTGGACTAGTGCAACATTGAATGATCATGTTGTTTTGTTTTTATTTCGTTAACTTGTGGCTTGTTTTCTAATAGATGTGTATAACTGATTGATCATTGCTGACTTAGGATTTTACTTCATTAAATACCTTGTTTTTTTTTTTTCCTGAAGGGTTTTTTTTTTTTTTAAATGTGCTTTGTATTGAATATAATAAAATGCAAAGTCTTCGAACATGAAGCCAGTCTTAACCAACTGTCTACAGCAGTTTGGGAAGGACAAAATTAACGCTGGTCATGGGGATGACAGAAAGATGTGAGAGAGATGTGAGATGTTCAGGTGTTGTGTGTTTTATTTTTATTTTATTTTATTTTTTAGAAAACCTTAAAGGCACAGGACCAGGCGATTAAAAAGTAAAACTTTTTGATTTTTCCTTGTTTTTAGCAAGTTACTTGATGCAAAAGAAATATTGCTGTTGGTCATAGTAGTTTGAATCTTGATAAAAATCATACACTCATTTGAGGAGTGATCCCATGTTCCTGGAGTTAAGGTATTTTTATGGGTAAGAAGTGCAGATTCTTATCCCTAATTTTCCTGCTTCTTTTAAGTTCATGCGTTTAAATGTTTTAGGCATGCGTAGCTGGAAAAGTATTGAAAGCAGTACTAGATATTCCTTGTGTTTTGGATTATACTCTTATCTTCATAGATGATATATCCTGTTTAGCAGTGATTGACATATATTTTGGCCCGATGCCTCAGTAAATGTTCTTTTCTCTGCCTCCCCACTTTCTCTGCATCTCCACAAGTGGCTAATCTTTTGTGACTTTCATAAACATATGCAATCTCCCAGACTAATCTATTGAATAATTTGTTGCTTACTAGAAACTAAGCTTTCAAACCCTGCACGTAACAGTGCCCTGGAGCATTTGGAGTATGGTATTTGTTCTTCAGAAGCCCCTGACTGGCTAGTGCTTCTAGACTTCAGTGTGACATTAGTTTGGAAATAAGGTTGTGTTTCCCAAAAGTTCAGTGAGCTGAAGTATCGGGTGTCAAGTGTTAGCATTCACCAAATCAGTAAATCTGACCTATTTAGTTCAGCATCATTTGTGCTGGTGTAAGCAACTGCAAAACGTATCAACGTAAAAAGACGTATATTCACTTGCTAAAGGTTGAGAACGCACGCGGCATAGCTGGGTGTAGTGCTGAATGCTCTCCTTGCTGCTTAGCTGGCAGCTGTGTTGCAGTTTTTAGGTCTGCTAGGCTCAGGTGGGCTACTTAGAGTTAAGTGGAGAGCCGTGCGACACCAGCTATTTTAACCCTGTTGTACCTTCTATTCTGGACATCCCAGAGATGTTGTTATAGACCATTCTCCATGTCTTTTGTGGCAGAAGAAGCTTACATTCTGTAACTTTTTTTTTTTTTTTTGTATGCAGAATATACCCCAGAGGAGTTTTGGGATTGATTATGGCTGCAAGTGCTTTGTCAAGGATGGGAAACCTTTCCGTTACATCTCAGGTAGCATTCACTACTCACGGGTTCCCCGATATTACTGGAAAGATCGCTTGTTGAAGATGAAGATGGCAGGGCTTGATGCCATTCAAACGTAAGTAGCCAGTGACTTTCAAAGTGATTTGTAGGCCTGGGAAGCCTATGTGAAGCAGTTAAGTGGGATGCTGCCATTGTTACTTATTTATTAAACAGCAGGTGGAAAAAGCTCTGCAGAAGTGGAGGGTGGTACCAGATGACCTCTAACAGCTTACACTGGGACAGCTTGAAAGATTATAGTTAACAATCTACTTTTCTGCTGATAGGCAACACTTCTTGCTTCACAATGCGGGATATAAACGTGACCTGAAGCAAATAGTCAGACAGTGAACTTTGGCAGCTGAGAAACAGATTATGTGCTGTGTCTCTGCCAAGGGCATGGTAACCTCTGGTAAAAAGGGAGACTAGATGAGAGGGAACACTAGCTTCTCAGTACAGCCTAGGCCCTGAAGCCTTGAAAATGTTGACAAAACCTGCAGTAATATTTAAAGCTATACCAAGATTATTTAAATTTAGGGAAATGGTGGGGAAGTAGGTTGTTATTGTTGTTTTAAGACAGTGTAAGCAGCTTTTAATTGCAGGGAGGTGATATAGGAAAGGGCGTGTGGAAGTTGTGTGATCTTTCTTGTCCTTCCTACCTGTTCGTGTCCTTGCTGCAATAGGTGAGACGCAGATAAAAGAACGCAGCCTGCTCTGTTATTTTTGCCAGAGTTTCCCTTACGAAGGAAGAGGAGTTGCGGACGGATGAATAGGCACAGTCTTTTCAAGTAATGGTTGCAGTTGCCACAGATGACTTTGTCTTTCCCAAATTGTTGCAGGGCTTAGAGCTTCGCTTTGAAACAGCCTCTTCTTGCTTTATGGCCTGTCAGACAGCGTTGGTTCTGGGGCTGCAGCGGACAGATAATCCTGCAGTCTGGGACAGTTTGTTTAGTGAGACTGTCATAATCTCTGCTTCTGCTCCCTTGGAGCCTGTATTTTGCTTGACCTGCATGTCACAGGGTTACTTGGTACGCTTGGATGTGTTTAATAAGAGTTAGTATGTGAAGAAAAGATGACAGGGAAGCAAAACGAAGATGCTTTTTTTCAAATTTTGGTTTCTCAGATCTGGGGTCTGTGCGTGTGTGCGTGAGTATATGTCTTGAAACTCTTCTCTGTGTTGTGATGGTGTAGTGGCCTTTTGTTTGTTCATCTTGTTTTGATTTTCTCATGAACCAAGTGAGGAAAAGCTAGAATGTGCTTACATGAGAACAAAGGGATTAAGCAACACACTTGCTGAGGACTGTCAGAAAAAAATTGCTGAGAGGTGCTCATGGAGTTAATTTTTACTTAAGCAAAAGAAATCTCAAACAGACCTGAAAATTAGGTGGTCTTGGTGTCTGTCTTGAAGATCGGTCTGGATCCCAACACTGTCCCTGACTTCCCTGTGATCTGTAGTGCCTCATACTTCCCTTATGTCTCGGATTTATATTCCTTCCTCTCACCCCAAAACACACACACATATCTTTAGTGCCTTCTGTTCATTTCCAGCTTTTTCACGTGGTCTCCTCCCTGTTTTTCGAATTTGTCTGTTAATTTCATTCCTGCGTTACTGGTGGTCTGCTTTTTTTCCATTCCCCTCCTGTCACTGTTATTTAATGGCAAAATTGCTGCAGAGGCTTCCCCACCCCCTGCTTACTCATTGCTTTCTTTTTCCTCCTTTTATAATTCATTGCTTCCCCTTCTTCCACCTCATGTATTTGCTCACTTTTTTTCCTTTTCTTTTGCATATTGCTACCTCTTATTCTTATGCTTTACTGTTCTGCATTAGTGTCCTTTTGCTAAGCAGGAAGGAGTAGAGGTTACCTTGTGTTGCTGATGTTGATTAGTCTCTGTTGGTCTTAAAAGAGGTGAGCTGGTTGTGTTTATGTACAGAAGGGAAGCTAGAGCTAGCGAGTGTTGCCTTAAGGTTATGTGATTTGCTGCTGCAGCCTTAGGTGTTGCTGGATCGGAGAGGACAGAGAACAGGTTTTTCCTCAACCTCCTTTTCTCTTTGTAAAGCTCCCTGGGGTTCTTCAGCGTTCTCCTCTGCCATTGCTTATCTTTGGATCTCTTCCAGTATTGGGATAGATAGCTGCTAAATTTGTATCTTGTAAGCAGAAGGTACTGCAGTGCCTTGCATTTTCTACAAGAATCAAATATGTGCATCTTTCCATTCGATACAGATCTCTCTCTCTAGATACCTTGTTTCTTTAAAGTATGCGGATAATCAGGCATTACTGCTCTTGATTATTGAGATGAAGCAATAATTTTTCATTTTACCCAAAATAACTGTGCTATTCTGTGTGCTTTTTGGTAGAATGGGAATGGGACTATGTTATTGTTTGGTTGTGTTTTTTTTTGCTCTCCTCTCTTCTGCCTAGGATTTCCTGCATCAATGAAACTATTAGCAAGGAACTGAGATTCCCGTTATGTGAAGTTGTTCGTTATGTGAAGTTGTTGGGGGATGAGCAACAACACTGTCAGACCTTCTGGCAGAGGGTGGCTATAGGACTCCCAGCGTTGGGGGCACCTTTGAAGATTGCCACTTTTGCTGCTCGGGGCTGTTTCCAAAAGACAGGAAAGGTTCTCGCTGCAGCTTACCGTATGGGAGCTGTCCTGGTTCTTATCAAGGTGCTCCCAGTGGGGCTCAGCGTGGCAGAGGAAACAGGAACTTTTCATTACAGGGTTGTCCTTGTGAATACCTCTTGGTCAGAACTGATCAGACCTGCCTTCCTTCTTACACTCTGCAGCCTCATTCCCAAAAGACTAGCTATGCCTCGATGCATCATTCAGCTAAGAATTGAGTCGGCAGCTGATGTGGGATCCTTAAATGGGAGAAGCCAGTATGTGTCTGTAGCAGTCTCTACCTGGAAACACCTTAAGCAATAACAGAATATGAAAAACACGTGACGGGAAGCTTGAGCTTATGTTAAAGTTTAAAATACAAAGGGCTAAACCTTCCAAAGAGCAGACTGAAATTTGGTACTGTGCTTGGTGTGAGGTTCCAGGAGATGACGGCGTATGCCTAGGAGCTCCCTTCCCTACCTCCACAGGTAGCACATAGAGGCATCTGGTCACACAACTGCGGTTGTCCTCGTTTTCAGTTCCTCAGCTGTGGTCTGTCAAGTACAAATAAATACTATGAAAAACATCTGTGCAGGACTGACGGTTGTTTTTTTTTGCATGGAAAAGGCAAACAATTAACCACTAGATGGGGCTAAATATTTACAGGACTGTAGAAATTGACAGAAGCTTTGAATCAGCAGTTATGTTACACGCTCATAGAAAGTTGCAGAAAAAATATTTAGGCATTTTATTTGTTTTACTGTATTTATTGACTAATGGGTGGAGAACTAAAGCGGTAGAAACCCCCTCTAAGAAAGATACGCTGTTTAGAATATCTATTCATAAAGAAATAAACAGAATTTAATTTTTAAACACTCATAATTGTGTAGTTTAATTAGCATATATAAAATGCTGCTGTATATATTTATCAAATGAATACAAGTTATTTAATTTTACACAACATGGAAAAAGCCCTAGTATTACAGAGAGAATTATCCTGGGCACTAAGGTAGCTATACTGTTTTGGGGGGGTGTCGGTTGGTTGGTTGTGCTTTTGCTTTTTTGCCTGTTGACATATCTCTAAAATAGGATGGGAAAACTGTGACTTTTAAACAAAATGAAGGTTATAATATAAAGCTTAGAAATTGTATGTAAATGGAGAGCAGATGTAATTATTCAAATGCAGAAGAAATGCCATATTTCCAGAGAAAACCTTTGAAAAAGGAATATGGCATTCCTTTATAAATTCATTATATTGTGCCTAAAGCGATACAGCGTTAGGAATTGACTATGAATTTGTACACTGGTATACAGGAATTTTATAAGAATTATATTTTGTTGATACTAGTAATGTTGAAATTAAATAACTTAGTCTTTACTTATTAAATAACTTGAAGTCTTTACTAGCTATAGGAAGTACTGAAGGATTAAAGTATATTTCTGATAATTTTTAGGCCAGTGTTTCAAACGCTGTTATTTAATGGATCGTTCCGTAAGAAGGCATTTCACATAAATGTTTCTCTTCGTTTTCTTCCCTTCTTCTCCACTGAAATTTGATATTTTTCTGGCCTGTAGGAGGTGGGGGACATAAATTTAAGTTATTTCTGAAAGAATTTTTCTGTCTCCTTCAAACTAGAGTGTAAGGGAGCTTGAGAGGCCCTTTTGTCCCCATCTCGGACATATTTAGACCTTGGGACTTGTTAGTAGGATGAGTTCCTAAAAACTCCTCAATGAACCCATGTTTTCATCTATAACAGGTTCGAAGGTGCAGTTAAATTAAAGTTAGAATGCTTTTCTTATGTTAACCTATGCTTTACTTACCAGCAGTAAATACTTGTGTAGCGTAAAGAGAAAGCAGCTTAAGCAATTGCTGTTACTCTGTAGCAGTCTTTTAGATGGTGGGAAAGTATTATGATGTTCATCCCTAGTCGTCTTTATTTAGCTCAAACAGGTGCAGTGAAAGAGTTGCTACGTAAACATGCCTGCTAACTCATTCCAGAAGGAGATTTGTCTCTTATTGTAGTGTCAGGTTGGTGATTCATAGTCAGATGGTGCTTTTCCGTAAAACCTGCAGACCCTTTCCTTCTATAAATACCAGTGCCATACGACTTCTTTCTCATTTTAAATTTTTGCCTTTGCTTTTTGCTTTGCGAGAGACAAGTACAAAGTGCTAGCTCTTGATTTGATGTCCGCTGATAGTAGACCGTGATGTTCGTTAATTAAGAGCATTTAACTGTGTGTTCTCTAGTCTCCCTTTGCTAAATGTGCTGTGTATTACATCACCCAGACCATCAGTGAGAACTCTGAATATACTGTAGACTCTTGGGTTACTTCTTGAAATATCCCATTGCTTTCCTTGCAAATTGTGGGTTGGTATTCTGTGATTAATTTTTTGTTCTTTGTTTTGGTTATACCAACTAGCCTTTATTTTTCTTGTCTGCTTATGGGAATGCCGCTCAGGAGAGTACCAAAAGCCTTGCGAAGTCCAGAGACGTCATCTCTTTTACTTTTCCTTAATCTTTTAGGCTAGTTTTCTGTGAAAGAATGGAATTAGGTCTATCTCCTGTTGACAAACCCAGGTGGTGGTTTTTATCATCTCACTGACATTTTCACATGTTGATTGTTCAGTAGCTTTTCAATCATCTTTCCTAGGTTTGGAGTTCGACTGTCTGGCATGTAATTCTCTGGAATTTCTCGCTCTTTTGTGCGCGCGCTCTCGCGCTCTCTCACTTTCGCGCCCACGCTCGCTCTTGCGCTCTTTGTAGAACGAAACGGTCTTCAGTCACGTGTATACAACTAGGTAACAGTTTTGCAAATAACATAGGTATTATGGCTCAGAGCAAAGTAAAACCATTCACAGTGATTACCTGGATCTACCTAATGGTAGATGGAACAGGGAAAGCAAGCACAAAACAGGTTTAATGTGTTGAAAGCTAGGTGCTACTGTTTCTGCAGCTATTGCCTCAAACTACTGTTTCAATAAGAAGTGACTTAATTTAGAAAGCGAAAACAGTTAATTGCTTCGGTGATGTGCTAATTACAATAAAATCCAAAGCCTTCATATAGTTGTTTGTACTTGTGCTCTTGCAAGTTTGGGAGTAGCAGGTGCATTTTTTTATTTGCTTCATGCTACTCTGTTTCTTTGAGATAGGCTGGTCATTTGTTTTGTTCTAAAATATTTATCAGCTATGACCTTAAGTGTTAGCAATCAGCTTGCTGCACCGATTGAAATCGAGGCAAAGTAGGGAAAACTAAATGAATGTCGAATGGACCTATATGTGCCTCATAACGTCATTAAATGCGTGTTTATTTTGTTTCCAAAGTACTTCAGTACACTCACTCTTTTAGAACAATTAGAACAGGCTGATAAAGATACGTGGTACGCAGAGGGGAAATCTGCATTTTGACTTCTGAGTGCATTGTTTAAACTCCCTCTTGCCATACAAATTTTAAACTCTGTCCTTTCAAAAAAAGAGTTTAAAGTTTGGACATTTGTGAGGAAAGAATATTAGCTAATGATTAAAGTTGCTGAAGGTTTATCATTCTTTTATTTGATGTTTGTGTACATATATTTCTGACAGTGGCCATTTCAGTACTGTGCTCATGTAAAGGTTCCTGTTTTTCTTGCCTCTTGAAAGCAGTTTTTTTTTTTTTTTTTACACCTTTTTCACCTTCTTGGGTAGTTTTTACAAAACTAACTCTTGAACATAAAAACAAAAATGTTGTCTGAGAGGCTCTTTGGTTGACTAGTCACAGTTTTGGTTTTAAAAATTTGTATTGAATTTACACTCTGAAACAGTGGCAGCTGGCAGCAGTCCTCTTAGGGGCACAAACGTGCAAAAAAGTAAATGCATGAAAAATAAGTTCTCCCTTTCTCTTGAATCCTTACTCAGGCTATACCGATTTGTAATTTTAACATCTATCTATGCTATGACTGCTACTTAGTATTATCCCAAAGCCAAAACTCTCGTGGTTGTTGTGCAAGGGCTATAAGCTGTAAAACAGCACATAGTATTTTGTAAATAACATGTCTCTTATCTTGCAACCAAAGGTAATTTATATCATCTATGAGATATTCTGTAGTCAGATTGTGGTTTCCAAAGCCCTGGAGGTAGGGGAGAGGGGTTTTCTCAAGTAGTTCTGTTTGTCTGACAGTTCCATTACTTGGTTGAAACGAGGCTCTAGTTTGTCCAGGCTTCTGGGCACCTTAGCCTACCTCAGCCATGCTACCATGCTTCCCATGATGCTTCCCAGAACCTGTTTTGCTTCTGGTCAGGGAAGATGTTCAGGACCTAGATGCAGAATCTTCTGAGGCTTAGACATTTATAACATCTTTGCAGTGGCAGCAGCACGGACGTGTCAGCCCATTTGGTGTGCCCTGTGCAAGCTGGGCGGTCCGTTCTCAGAGGTTGTTTGCTGTCTCTGGGAAGCTAGTTCTTGACCGCTTCTTGTGTGGGTGGTTTTCAGTGTTCATCTCTTCACAAACTTCCCACCACTACACCACTGGCAGCTGACTTGCCAGCATCAGAACTCAGCTACTTAGATTTTGGAATAGCCATCGTGATTTTAAAATGGCAGCAGCAAAACATGTTCCTGGATTTATACGGACTCCCATAGACATAACCCAAAGCACTAACTGTTATTTTAGTATTAATGTTAACACCTTCTGCCATAGGAAGTACATCACAGATGAAATGTGCCAGAATTATTCTTGTATTTTACTAATCTGAATGCAAGTTCAGCTTTACATATCCCTGGGAGTGCAGTGCAAATACTTGTTGTTTGGAGTTCTGGTTTAGTCTGAGTTTCCTAATGGAAGGCGATTTTTCTCTCTTTATAGGTATGTGCCATGGAACTATCATGAACCCCAGCCAGGCATATATGATTTCTCTGGTGACAGAGATTTAGAGTATTTCCTGCAGCTTGCTAATGAAACTGGCTTGCTGGTGATCCTGAGAGCTGGACCTTACATCTGTGCAGAATGGGACATGGTACAGCTTTTTGTAAAAGCTATCTCATTTCTAGGCTAAATCTAATGCAACTAACTTCTTCCTAAAGTAGAAAAATATCCTTGGTGTTTCCATGGAAAAGACTCTTGGTTAAGCACCCCCAAGTGATTTTTTGCAGCGCAAGCTTGCCTAGTGTTTGTTTTTCATTGGGAATTATTACTAACCTTTCTTAAGTATAGTCTCAATATATTTTTTGATAACTGGCTAAATTGTTCTTCATTTGAAATAAATGGTCACCGAAGTGGTTTCCTTTCTTTTCCCAGGGAGGTTTGCCTGCATGGCTACTGGAGAAGGAATCTATTGTTCTCAGGTCTTCTGATCCAGGTAAGGGCATCAAGAGGACTAGCAAAAGTATATTTTAACAGCAGGAGGACTTGATGTTTGAGGCTACGTTCAGGTAGTTCATATCTCAGTTTAAGTTATCTTGTGAGTAAAAACGTCAGTGCTCCTAAGATGTATGCATTGAACAAGTATATTGAAAGAACAAAGTAGGGTACAAAATCATGCAGCTTCTGCGATTAAAGAATTGTAGGGCTGAGTCCTTCAGGTTGTTGTGGGTGCTCTTCCTAGAGCTAGTGAATTTTTTAGCAGTTGGTTTTCTAAGGAAATGACTTAAGTTGCCTTATTTTAAAAAAGGAGGGAGGGAGTGGAGCAATTTATGCCACCTATCTCTTCTTGTTCCCGGCTTCCCAGGCCTTTTCTTAATAATTTCTAAAGCAGCAACCGATTTCGACCAAATTTCAAAATTAGTACAAGTTTGAAAGATACTGACAAGTTTCATGAAAATTGCTGCCAAGAGAGCTAAATTATTGTTGCCATTGAGAAAAAGGCAGGTAGCTGGAAGCTCCTGACAGTCTCGGAATCTCAGCTCTGAGATATTCTGTTTATCAACAGCCAAATGGCCACTCATTGTGGGAGTCTTTCTTGGCTGGTCACTGTGCATGCAATTCCAGAAATAGTTACAGCGCTATTGTGTTACCTGGCCATGAGCATGGCACGGACAGGTGAGATGGGAGATTAACGTGGTTATTGAAGAGGGTATTAGGGGACAAAAATATAAATCTATATAGTATCTGTCTTAAGTTCTGCTGGTCATTAGATAAATTATCTATTCAAAAAAAATAGTGCAGACAGCAATATTACAATTTGTTTTCCCATTGAAATGCATTAGGACAACTTATGTGAGACATTTTAAAGTATTTCTGGTGATTTTCTAAGTTCATCAGTGTTTGAATGTTTTATTTTTTTAATGATTCCACCCATGTATTGAAAGCTGACAATTATGAACAAATGTAAGAGCATGTCAGTTCATTAAATGCTGTTCTTAGGTACTTTATGTAGTTAGAAAACTAGGTAAAAACTACCCATATATAATTTAAAAAAAAAATCAAAAGTATAAAGCAGAAAAGTTGTGAGCTGTTCAGTTTTCACTTTGCGTATCACAGATTACCTGGCAGCTGTAGGGAAGTGGATGAGCGTGCTTTTGCCGAAGATGAAGCCTCACCTCTATCAAAATGGAGGTCCAATCATCATGGTGCAGGTAAATTGCTGAAAATCAAAGGAGCCCAAGCAGCATGAATGCTTATATTGGCCTTGCTGACACTTCTTGTGTCGGGTAGTGATGCGCACAGATGGTCCTTGTTTCTGGTAGCTAAAGGATTCTGATGAGATCCTTCATCTGAAAGAGCTGAATGCCATCTCCAGAATTTAGAGCGCACTTGTCTACTCCATGCAGGTTGTTTCCTACTAGTGTAGAAAGCAAGAAAACAAACTCGTAGGACTTCTTAGGTCTGAGTCTTATGCCAGCTCTCATATAGAGCAAAAACACATTAACGTCATCTGAAACCCTCTCACAGGAAAAAGGGGAATAAGGATACCTGTGGATAGAAACAAAAGCAATATGAAGTAAGCCTAAAACTTGTAACAAGTATAGCATCAAGGTTTTGGCTTGTTAGTTCTTAGTATGTAACTTGAGTTGTGAATTTTTCCGGATATGATACTGTGCCTGCATAGTGGGTAGTTTCTCTCTTGAACTCCTTCCAGAAGTGCAGTGCTTATTGTTCCATTTTCATACTTAATATTTGACAGTAAGCAAAGTTTCATGCTAATTAATTGAAATTCCCTGCCTTTCACAGGATGAGAGACCCTTCTTAAAAATCAGGCAAGATCACTGTTCTCGAACAATGCATTATCTGTATTGAGTAAAAGCGCTGCGCTAAACTATCCCTTTGAAGAAACAGGATATTTAGAACAGGATTGTCAGAAGTCACCGTAAGAAACGTTTGGCATTGCATCTGCAGCTGAGAGTTGGCTCCTTGGGAAAGGGGCAGGAAGTACACCTCTCGAGGTTATCCAGTCCTTTAAGTCTTTGGCGGGGCTTTGTTCCTGTAAGCCCCTCTGCTGACCCTTATTTCCTCATAGGTCTCTGTTCTGGAAGTCCAGTTCCATCACAGTTTTGATCATGTTGCAACCTGGACTGTCCCATCACAGTTTTGATCATGTTGCAACCTGGACTGTCTTTTTATTGGTTTACTGGGAACTGGGCCATAGTTCTTCATTTTGAATAGAGACCATATTTTGATTACTGTTTTTGAGTAGATAAGGGTAGAGATTTTTATGTCAAGCTGAAAGGTGATTTTGTAGGAAAGTGAGTTACCTCCAGTCAGTGATTGCTCCACTGTAAGGTATAGGTGAGCAGAATAAGGGCCTAGAAGTATTGTCTTCTCCTGTTATTCCTCAAGTCTGGAGTTAAAATGGCTTTGTCAGGGTTGCCATCAAAGGAAAAGGAAGCCTAGATTTAGGCTTCCCATTTTTGGTATCAGATGCAGATCCAAATTGGCTGCTGCTTATTTGAATTATTTTTACTGTGCAGGTAGAGAATGAGTATGGAAGCTACTTCGCTTGTGACTATGACTATCTGCGTTCCCTTCAGAAGCTCTTCCGCCAGCATCTTGGGGATGAGGTAGTGCTGTTCACAACTGATGGTGCAAGCAAGTTGTACTTGAGATGTGGAGCTCTTCAGGGTCTTTATGCAACAGTGGACTTTGCCCCAGGTTGGAAACAACTGTTTGTTACCAAAAAAAAAAAAAAAAAAAGATTGTGTGCATGTTGGTGGTAGGACAAATGATCTCCTTGACTGCTTTGTTTAAATGGTTAATAGTCATTTATGTCTATTTGACATATTATTAAACCTAAAAGAATTACCCACAAATACCCAGTTACAGACTCGTAATCATTTCTTGGTTTTGTTTTTTGTTTTTGTTCTTTTTAAATGACCTCTGCCTATTCCAGAAATCAGCCCTCCTAGTTTATTTCTTTAAACTGATGGTTACTGGGGAAAAAATACTGCTGAAGACCATCATTAAAAATGTGTACACCACCATAATTTGCAGGAATAGAGGCCTGAAGAATGGCTAAGTAATGGATAGCATTCTCAGAAAGTGCCTATTTGATAGAAGAGGAGAGTCAATGCTGTGAATATTTGTGCTGCGTGGGCTTGGCAAAATAGGCTTAAGGCACAAGAAACATACTTCAAGATGGTTATTTTTCCATAGGTTTTTGACTTTTGGCCTCCTTTCTCTCTACCGTCAAAGTACTGTGCTTTGTAGGAGTGTTTTTTTATTAGTAGATTGAAACTGTGAACTCCGTTCTGTATATCATTCATCGAGTAGTTATTATTTCCAGTCCCTATGGCTGGAACCACTTGAAGTGATCAGAAGTGAAACTCCTATTTACAGGTTGCTTGGCATCTGTTCTTCCTTATAGTCCTGACACCAGAACTGCAGGCCTATACTTTCCATGTGTGTGTAGTAATTCTGACACATCTCAGACTTCGTGGAGCCAGGATGTCATTCCCAGGAAGAGCTTGATTTTTGGAGAATGTAAACTTAGGATTTGTTTAAAAGCTGGTATTTTTTTAAAAAGGTTCTGCAGCTCAAACACTAAAATCTGAGGTATTGATCTACACCTGCATTTTCTGAAGCAAGTTGCTTACCTGGATTTTGCTAGGTCTTGGAATGGATGTAGACACCTCTTTCAGTAAAGTGAAGGACTGAAAAAAGTCATGGATGTTGCAGTTCAGTTTTGCTTTTATCTGTTTATAGGTGGCAATGTCACAGCAGCATTCTTAGCTCAAAGAGGCAGTGAACCTACAGGCCCTTTGGTATGTCTTTTTATTTAAATTTCCTGTATCACACCTAATCTTACAGTGATTAATAATAGAGGGGTTGACAACAGTGCGTTGGACAGTTTCTTAGGGACAGGTTTAGGGGGACATCGTTTCCAAATCATTCAGAAAAGCTGAACTGAGGAGCTTCTGCATTTGTTTGTCTATGCCACACTGACTGCTGTTCTGCAAATGTTCCTTTAGTCTAGGAAGAAATTCATTTTTTTGTTTCAGTATTTTTTTCCTAGCTAAGACAAATGTTTACAAAGCAGTGGAAACAGTAAGTATGATTAGATGAGTTAGTGAGGTATGTGTGTGGGTGGAAGTTAAAAGCAAAAATTAAAAGGGTAGGTTAAAAGTTGCTTCCTGTTTTTTAGCTACCCCAGAGTTTCTGCACAAATGATAATGGGATGTGAGATTATTGGAAGCCATTTTGACAAAGGGAGAAGGCCCCTTGAGAGTACAAGATTCTCTCTGCTATGAAATTATTTAAAACACAGTTTTAGAGTGTTTGAGTGACTTATTTTTCACTACATCTAGTTTACATATGTTATCCTGCGTGTAATCTATTGGTTCTGTCATTTATTTTATTGCCAAGTATCTGAAACGTATTCAGGTTGACAAGTTCCAAGGAAATCTGTGCTCTTTGGTACTTAAGCAGTCCTTTTCAAAGTATCCATATAGAACTATTGAACCAATCCTTAAGTGTCCATATCAAATTATTGAACTAATCCTTCAATCTCTTTGACCAATCATCTGCTGGAAAAGACTGATTTTTCATATATACCTTGCTGTATTTATAGTAGTTTAAAAATGCAGATGAGTCAAGGTGCCTTTTTTCCTTTCCTCTTAGAGTTAGTAACCTAAATCACATTGCATTCTGATCTTGTTCCCTCTTCGTCTTTTCCCTTCCTCTTTTGCCCTTCCTCCTTTCAGGTTAATTCTGAGTTTTATACTGGATGGTTGGATCACTGGGGGCACCGTCATTCTGTTGTGCCCGCGCAAACAATAGCTAAAACCCTTATTGAAATCCTGGCACGTGGTGCTAACGTTAACCTGTAAGTGTGTGTTCAGTAGAGGTTGGTTGTTTTGTTCTGTTTTCCAATTCCAAGTGTTGGTACTCAGCAAAACCTGATTTAAGTGGATTGTGTTCTGTTTTGTTTTTTTCAGGTACATGTTTATAGGTGGGACTAACTTTGGCTATTGGAACGGTAAGAAATGATACAAGTGATTCTAATAATACAGTGGAGCTGCTATGAGTTAGTTAGTAATGCACTAGTCCCTCTTTTAAAAAACAAACAACCAAAAAAAACCTGTGTGTTCTTTCAAACGGCAAGAGACTACTGCATTAGCTGTTCTGTGTCTATTGCCAGCATGTTCTAAAACCGCACAGTATTGGCCTTTGCAAAGGATGAAGCACAAGTCTGGCCTTTGCTTCACTCAATTCTGTAAAACAGTTGAAACATGGATAAATCTGTTTCTCTTTAGAATATTTCTGAAGACTATGTAATGGAGCAGTGAGAGCTTAGAAGGACTATGTCCTCCATAGGAAATAGTTTCCCTGTGCTGAATCCCAAATCCCAGGGCCTACACTGAATCTGAAAATAGTGAAGTCTGACTGTGATTGGAGAGAATTCTGAAAATTGATCCCTTTGGGAAAAAAAAAAACCCAACTCCTTTACATTTTCTTTTTTTTCCCTCCCTTAGGTGCTAATATGCCCTATATGCCACAGCCCACTAGTTATGACTATGATGCTCCACTGAGTGAAGCAGGGGATCTCACAGAAAAATACTTTGTCTTGCGGAAAGTCATTGGTATGGTGAGTGTCCTTAGCACATGCTTAGAATGGTTCTCTGAAACATCCCTAGCTTACTGGAAACCCTCTTGCTCTTGTGTTGGTGTAAGTTACTTCTACACTTATTGTCCTCTGCAGGAAATGGAAGTGAAGTAGAGCAAGGTGATTAGGCCAATCCAACTGCTTGTTACAAAAAGGGCAAGATCTTGCACTTCCCTGGTTACCCCTTCTGCTATCTCGATGGCTCCATCCCTCCCTTTCAGAAGAGGGGTGCAGGTGGGGGTCTGACACTCTGAGATGATTCAACTCTGTTTTTTTGCTGGGTTTGTTTTCTTCCAACTTGGCTCACTCCAGCCAGAGCTGGTATGGGGAGAGCAGAGGGAGGGAGGACAGGTTTAGCTGAGAGAAGAGATGGAGGGGGAGTGTGCAGGGCTTCCCCTTGCAGCACTGATAAGCCATTCAGTCAGTTTAGGCTGGTCGCTTCCCTTCAGCTTGATGTGTGCTGCAGTTTAAGTGCTTTGACTGCCTGTCTGCCAAGCTCCATGTTGTTGTTTTGGGCTTCTGTGAGAAGGAGCATGGTTATCCAAATGAGCTATCTTTCTTTTGTGATGCCACAAACTAGATCATGCATAGGACCAGCTTTGCCTATTGGTGGTGATTTAAAACAAAACAAAAAAACAAAACCCCAAAATCAACAACAACAAAAAAAGATTTGAAGTAAAACTGCGGATTGGAGTGAAATGTGGAATCTGTATCTGGGTTTTGAAAAGGCTTACGTTTCAGGCCGCTCAGACTAGGCTTAAAGACAAATTTCCTGGGAAGCCCAAGGCTCAAGCTTGTACCCGCTGTCCTGTTGCATGCCAAAAACGTTACTATTCGCTAGAAGACACTTTTTTAATGGGGAGTAGGTCTCATAGAAGTTTATTACACTGTCTCTAGGGTGAAGTATGGAAAGCCTGGTATGGATCATTTCTTAAATTCCTCCATTGTCCCCAAGCTTTCCACTGACAGGATGATTTTGATAGGAGGAACTTCCTATCTTGGTGCAGCTTTTCTCACCAAAGACATTCCCAAACTTCCTGTTTTTGAGTTGTTTTCTTCAAGGCAAGATCCCTATCTGAACATCAAGGACTGTTCTAGTGCAATTGAGACAGCCTTGATAAGATCTGAAATGTTCAGTATGTTTTGGGTCATGGCACATCTTTTTATGGTGTGGTTTGTTTATCTCTTTATCTTCCATATCCATAGGATCTCAGTGACGTTTTTTTGTCTCTGCTGCGGGTTCTAAACCCATCATAGTAAATTCACTCAAATGCAGTTTGAGCTGAAGCTGATGTAAGAAAATAAAGTTGGCCTGTAGCTAATGACAGTTCTCAAAATGTTAGCTTTGCTACAAGGCTAACGCATTATAATCTTCCTTTCTCTCAGTTAATAAATATAATCAAGAAGGAAAGTTTCAGTCTAAACATTTCTTTCAAGTACTCACGGTATTCTCTGATTTCTACCATTTGGCCTGAGACTTTCTACTTTTGGTATCTTTTCTTTTTTTTCCTGTTTGTTTGGTTTTTTTTTTTTTTGAAGCCTGAATGATTTGATTATTTTCACATACAGAGAGAAAGAAATGAACTTGTTATCCAGAAATACGAATCAGGTTTTCATCAGTCTGTGGTTGAGAGTTGACAGAAGGGCACTGGGAGTTATACTGCTGTGATCGGTTTAAAAAAGAAAAAAAATTGTTCCGGTGCAGAGGCAAACTTTTGAGTGTGATTTTTATGCCAGCTGTGCCATGTGTAAATCCAACAAAATCCCCAAGAAAAATGGCCCTTCAATACCTCCCCGAATTTATATATATTAAAAGGAAAAAAAAAAAAAAACCCTAAGGGTTGCCAAATTAAGCACTCAGAAGTTACTAAATGTGCAGATTAAGATAACCTGCCCAGGTGGGGTCATTTGTGCACATGTGTTAAAAAGCAGACTTAGACTGCTTGATCACGTAGGTTTCTTGTCTGTAAAAGTTTTCTCTCTATAGTGTATAGTGTTCAGTAAATGAGAGATCAAGTGGGAAGTCTGAACATAAAGCCAGGGACGAGTAATGGGAGGAAAGAGGAGAGGGTTTGATATGGCAAGAAGGCAAAGAGGTTCGAGGCTCGGGAATGAAGGGACTGGGATATGGGGAGAGAGCCCCTGTCTAAAGTCACTGTGCCTCAAAGGCATCCAAGCAGCTGGTGGACCTCCTTGGCCCCTTCGTTCCCCAGCAATGCTGTAAGCTGATCTCTGGCAGCTCTTCCTAGCGATTTAGGGAGAGAAGTAACTAGAAGTAGGCTGACTGTCAGAATATTTCCCTATCAGACTGTCGCTCCTGGTTTGCAGGCAGTTGTCTAGGCCAGGAGCAGAGGGGAGCTAACGCAGAGATCTCATAGGTTTGTGGAGCTGTGGAGGGAGCGGTGGTTGCACAAGAGCTGGAGCTGTGTTAACATCCTGCTGCGGTGGGTCTGTGGGCTCCAGGCTCCTTGGACTCTGCGTTAAATCGTTTCAGTGAGCTACTCCCAGAAAAAGTTAAGCACGCTTTTGCTTCTGCGTTAGCTTCCCACTGGGTTAACGTGCCAAAGTGGCTCAGTAAAAAGGTGTGACTGGGGAGGGAATGTGTGAATGTGGCCAAAGGAAGGTGGGATCACGGCCACTGCTTTGGCTACCATGGAGCTCTGCAGCCTGAAAAGCTGATGGAGGAAAGGGCACAAGAAACGGGCTAGAGGAGCCAGAGCACGGCCCGAGGCCTGGTACACGTCAGATAAAAGTATACAGGTGGGATGAGAGGTGGTAAATTCCATAAACCACAGTTGTCAAAGGTGCCGCTCCCCCGTGTGAGAATTGCTGCCAGGCTTGTGGCCGCCCAGGGGACGTGTGCTGAATGGGGCGAAGGCTCCAGCAGCTCCCTACCTCCAAACAGAGGCCGTGACAGCTAAAGCGTAACTGAAAGAATGGACCAGTTTGACAAAGCAGCCTTGGCTTATGTGGCATGTGAAAAGAGTGCCTTTAAGATTTATGCCTTTAGGATAACTTAAACTTCATGCCTTTAAGATTTATTTATGTAAATTCTTCTACAGCCTCCTCTCTGTGTTTGCTGAGCCACTATGGGGTAGCAGTTCACCCAGCAGCCTGGAAGTCGTGAGCTAAGTTACCTCCCCTGGCCGTGAGGCTTTCACAGCTGTTTCTAAAAGAAGCCAGCCTAGGTAGCAACGGGTTAGCAGGTGTAGGGGGGAAGCAGCAAGCAGTAACCCTGAACTGAGGGGGAAGGCACAAGGGGCCAGCAGTTCCCATATGAAAGTGCTGCTAAGGAAGGGTGGGAGGATCGGATGGAAGTACTGCCGTGAACGCTTGGAAAGGTTGAGCTGAAGCTCCCATTGACTTGAGGGATGATTCCAGATGGGCTGTAGGCAGACAGTAATGCAAGCTCCAGCCACAGGAGGGCTCCAAGGACAGCGTGATTCTTTGGCAGCTGCTTTGTTTTCCATCTGTTTTATGGTCACCTCGAGTTGAGTATTCATTAAAAATTACATTTACCGTATGTGATCAAATCAGATGGATTTTTTTTAAAAACCTCCTTCTGCGCCTAGGCGCAAGTGTAATTCATTAACACTGTGAGAATACCTACTTTTAGCCAAAGTTCTACTTTTGTAAGTTGTGAAGTGGAAAGTGAGAATTAAGTTTTAAAATATTTGTATTTGTCTCATGTGGGTTGTTTTTTTTCCCCCTCCTTCCCTTTCTAGTATAAGCAGTTACCAGAAGGCCTTATCCCTCCAACAACACCCAAATTTGCATACGGGAAGATTCGCTTGCAGAAGGTAAATTAATATTTGTAATCTGGTAGGTGTATCTTTTTGCAATGTTGTATGTTTGCTTTTTGCAAGAAATGTTTGAGGGTGTAATGTTAGCCTCCAGATAACATACAAAGTAGAGAGGAAAATCTTGAAAGCAAACTTTCAGGAAGGAGGGCACAGAGCTTGGGAGTTAAGAATGATGCCTATGATGGAAAAAGAGCAAATATATGCTATCTGGAAATAAAAGATAATTTTTACAGTGTGCTATATGTATATGAAATTTTACTAAACTGAAATGATATATTTTCATAAAACAAGAGAATTGTAGTTGTCTAACTAAGGTAACTCGTGTGAATAGTGGAGCTGAGGGAGTGCTGGCATGAGGAATGAGCAAAGAGTGTTTCTGTAGCTGGTGATGCCTCCGAAAGGGAAAAGGCAGATGGGAAGTATGTATCTTCTAAGTAAATAGTTCTAGGTGTTGTAAATTTTGAATATGGACTATTTTCAATAAATCTGAAAGTCTCAGTGGTATAGCTTATTACAAGATTTATGAAAATCTGCAGCTGATGAGAGAAACTAATTTACTTTCCTACTGAGGGAAAAGCATGCAGAACACAGCCTTGATATATCCTGTTTGGCAGCAGTCATGCTCGTCAGCACATGAATAGCTGGGGTCTGTCCATAGCACTGTCACTTTAGGGTTAGTGACGGTTTTCTGTGGAATATGGTTGAGAACTGGGTTACTGCGATGAGCAGAGACGAAGGTTTAGGAGATGCAAGAGACAGACCAGTATGAACTTGGCTTCATTCGTTCTGCTGCTCACAAATAAGTTGTCCTGAGGTGGAGGATTACTGCAGCTGGTGTACTGGATACTCTAATTCATGATGTTTTGACTTATACTTTCTCCTCTTCGTTGTGAGCCAGCCACCTCTTCAATCAGCAGTGTATCTGATCTGTTACGCCACTGCAGCTGAAGTGTTGCAAAATTTGGTAGTGATAAGGCTTTGCAGCCGTTGTTCTACTCAAGTGGTGGGCAGGAATCAGTTTTTCATAATGGTGATTCACCAGTGAAAGCTGACAAAGATATATATCGTGTTCAACAACCCTTGAGTATCTTCAGACTTCTTAGGCAAGGGGTTGCCATATGAAATTTCACTGAACTGCGGTTTATATTTGGTAATGACCGATTATATATCATTATCATTACACTTGCCATTTCTGCTGCTACTGTAGGTGGGAGTTGCAGGCACTTAGGGACCTTGTAATCAGATTCTGACTCCCCGTTTTCTCTTGGTTCGTGCCTCTCAGATGGGGCTGTCCTATTTCACTGAAGTGATGAACGCTCCCTTTCATGCCTGCAAGAAATGAAAGCTAAAGCGTGTCTGGTCTGGAAACCTTCTCACAAAGGAGAGGTGAAGACAGATGACTAGAGAGGCTGGAACATCGCAACTTTGTCGTGGTCATCGCAGTGGAAACCCTGTTCCTGTACGGTTTCTTAAGAGGCTGTGTTTCATTCTGCACCCAGCAGTTTTAGGAAGTGAGATGGCATATCTACACTGGCAGGTGTGCGATTCCTATCCTTGCCTGTACAGATACTGCCATCTGTACCGAAAGCCTCTAGAATTGTTTTCTGGGAAGAAAGCTGCTCTCTGTTCTACAAACCCACCCTTTATTTCAGCTGCTGGTTTCCCCTCTACTTTGTTACGCTGTGTCATGGGTGCAGTGTAACCATGAGCCTCAAATCATGGAGGGCTTGTGCTGTCTGCCCCTGCCAAAACAGTCCTCCCAACAACATGTTGCATTCTAGTCCCTGTTGGGACGAGGTAAAGTTTGTTTCTCCTATGCACCTTGCTTGGAGAAGCCTAAAAGTATTTAATGAATATCAAGGAGGAAATATTATAGGACTTCAGCTTCTGTAGTCATAATCTTCCCAGCTGTAACATTTGCAGTGACAGTGCTATAACAGTTACCATAGTCCATAGTATAACAGGTACCATAAAGTTTCACTGTGCAATCAGGGTCCAGCAGTCGGTCTCCTATGGAACGCATTGAATCTACTGCTGTGAACTAATTCCCATGGCACTTTTGCAGAGAGGAAGAAGGAAAGGAAACTTAGGAGTGTTTTCAGTAGACATATGGTGTACTTTACAGAGGCATGTGTAACCAGAGCAGCCTATTCCTGTAATCTTTCCTACAAGACATTCTGTGATTAATTCAGTCCCTAAGTACCTGATGAGCTGCTCAGTCATGTCCACTGTTTTGGGGGGTTTATTTATGTATTTATTCTGTGCATATGCGGGGAGGGTATCTAGGAGGGATAACTTATAAAAGGTGAAGGATTTTCTGGCAGATAGCAACAGGAGAAACTCCAGATCAAGTGGTAGAGAATAACCAGAAACAGCATAGTGCAGAAGCTCTCTCGTCCCTCTTTCTTGTATCTCAAGATGGCTGTTTTACCGGAGCTAGCAGTTATATGCACATATGTGAAGTACTTGATAAACTGTAGAAGCAATATAGTAATATGACGATTATAGGATCGTGTGTCGACGTCTTACTGTTTCCTTTAATTGTTTGTTTGCGCTTACTTCTTTCCTTACTGCACTGTGGCACAGGGAAAAATCTGAGAAATTAGTGTTTTCCTTTGGTTTTTTTTGTTTTGTTTTGTTTTACTGTTTAAAGGGTCCGCCAGAACTTTTGCATGTAGGTTGTCCTAGCTGAGAATAACTGGGGAACCCAGTCTAGTAAAAAACCCGCTGTCTCCTGATCAGGCAGGTGTTCGTTCTGAGCTATTGAATGATTTTAAAGAAGAAATCTCCGGGGAGAGGGGAGAATTTATTAAAACTTGCCTGGATACACTAACGTTGCTACGGAAGAGGACAGGAAAGCAGGCCATGAGGAAGCATCTCGTTGCAGAGATGCAAGAGAGAAGTGTTGAAGGGGCAAGCAAAGGCAGAGCAGCAATAGGTGAGATCAAGAAATGTGAGACAGTGGAGGGGGTTTAAGACCCAGAATGCAGGGAGCATCTTTTCCAGAGGCAGACAAATAAGTTTGAGTGTCTGCAATGTGCACACGTGGCTGTGCAGGCTTGTGAGCAGGTGGTAGTTTCTGCTTATCACTTGGAGGACCCTGAGGAGTGCATGGTCAGGAGGAAACGCCTGCCCTGGCACTGTAACCTGCGGACTTTTAGCTTCTGGGGTTGTCATCAGTCCTTGGGGTGTGAAGAGCTCAAGCAATAGCAAGTGGCTGGCAACCCTGACGTGTTTATTTGTGCAGTCATATGGGCAAGAAGAGTTGGGGGCCAAAAACAGGGTTCTTAAGTTGGAAATACAGAAACAGGTGACTTTCGTTAAAATTTTGCAGGCCATCGTTTGACTGATAGTTGTCTTGCCAGGGCGAAGGTGCTGAGCTATAGACTAGTAAGGGAGAGCTAACTTTCAGTTAGTCATGGGATTACCAAGAGGATTATACCTCTTCTGGTTTTCTTGTATCGAGCTGAAGAGTTAAGTTCATTTCAAAAGTCCATTTAGAGCTATGTCTTCATGCAGAAGTTGGGAACCACTGCTATCATACTGTCTGCTCATACAGCCGTGGGTTTTCCAGTGAAAAAACTGGAAACTCCAGTTTGAGAAACTCCAGTGTGCACCTCAAAGTGTAGAAAATAGGGAGGAAGGAATACATGACTTGAGAAGGCTCCCTATCACCCTGTGGTAAAATCAATGTGAGGAAAAGGATGTAATCTTAGCATTCGCTGAGTTTTGTGTTTCTTCCAAGAACTTCCTACTGCTTCTCCAATGCTCTGAATAATTTCCAGCATCTTTGGTACCCTGCATGGGAAGGCAGGTAGATGCTGTTCCATGTTTTGATCTATTGATATCAATGTGTGCAAACAGTCAGAGCTGTAGATGGGCAAAACTGCATGCGGTGATGAGACAAAATAAGTGCTGTCATGGGAAAGGAAGGGTGTGCTATTCCTCCTGGTGCAACAGAAACAGGCAAGTAAGTGGATCCTGTCCTGTATCATGGAAGAGAATCAAGGACAGGCAAACCACTAAAGCAAGTGGCGCACAGTGACTGCCTAGTGCTGCATGGATGTAGGTAGTCAGAATATAGTGGATGTTTGTTTGACAAACTAATGCAAATGGAGGAAGAGTGATTTCTATCTTCAGTGAACTTGCAGGCAGTGCAAAGTAAACGTGGTGGATATGGTGCAGTTTGGACTGAATTGTAGTTACTGTGGTAACTACATGTACCTTGTTTTCAGTTTAGAGTTGACAGATATTAAAATAATATTGTTGCAAGAGAAAACCACATCAATTTTTTTATACCTACTGAAGAAATAATTGCATGTACATAGGTGATTCATGATGGCTTCTCTCATCTATAGAAAGTATTTCACATAGACTACTCTGTTTTTTAATATTTCAGCACTTCTCATTTTTGGGTATGCTGTGCAAAAATGTAATACTTCCATTATTGAAGCAGTCTAAAGAAGTCTTTTTTTTTTTTTTTTTTGGCTGACCGTGCTCGTGGAGTATACAATTTGATGCTATTTTTAAAAGCCTATTTTTTTTAACTCTATTTTTTTCCTAAGAGGGTATTTGAAAGCCAATCTATGTTTGTGATACTTTAAATGTGTGATGTGTGTGAACAGTGGCGATACTTTTTGTGAAATGGAGCACGATCTTGCATGACAGGTATAAATACAGTTGATTTTTGAGCTTGGAGGATACTGTGCATATTGTGTGTGTCTTTATTAACATACCAAATTAATGGCAGAGTTTGAGAAAGAATTGTAGATGAATGGAAAGCATCTATAATTGCAAAAGGCAATTGCAGATGGCAAGAAAAGGCGTATGTCAGTCCTGATTCAGCGGGGTACTCAAGCACGTGAATAGCCTAAAGCATGCTGCCAAACTCACTAAAATCAATCTGACTGCTTGTGTATGAATTACAGATTTAAGATAATTACTATCTTTTAAGACTAAGTAAAGTAAATACCTCTTGGATAACTCTTGATAGAACCAGATTTTATTCTAGCTTACCTTGGAATGATTCTAGAGTAACTTACTGGAAATCAGTGGCACTTTCACACTAGCGTGGCGCAAGTACAGCGCATGGAATTTGGATAATACGGTTGCTTTATCTTTATTGTCTAGAGCCGTAATGTTTGCTTATGGAACTTTTGTGAAAAACTCCTGGGTTAGTTCTCATTAAATAATAAAGGATCACTTTATGAATGCAAAGCAAACTTAAAAGATCTGAATTTTTTTTTAAAGCGTTCCTCTGTATGTAGTATGGGTTTTTTTCAGATTTCATCAGTTCTCTGCACTGTGTTCTATTATTGTAGATTATTGAAGTGTCTCAATGTATATAAAGGTGATATAAGGGCTTCAGTTGTCTTTGCTTTTCTTTTGGGCAGACACAGCTAGCTGGCCAGGCGGCCTGATATGCCAGCTGTTATATTTAGACCAAATTTTACTGACCTACACGTCTGCTTTTTCTGTGCTGCAGGTGGGTACTGTGGTGGAGGTTCTTGACAAACTGTCACCTGCTGGACCAGTAAAAAGCACTTACCCTTTAACCTTTGTTCAGCTAAAGCAGGTAAGGAGTTCTTGGGTAGGCGCTTTGCAGTCATTTTGTGAAGTTTATTTGAACAGCCCTCCTTGGTGTGACTCCTCATGTCCAGTGTCTTATACTGTATCTCAGCACAGGTAGTAATAGTATTGTAAAGGTGATTAGGATTTTTGCACTGGAGACCTTTCCGTATTTGGCAGCGCTCCTGTTTTGCACCCGAGATTCTTCTCTTTCCATGAATATATATATACTGTCCAGGGTTTCTACTTCATCTTTCCTCTCTGAAGTACTGATTTTCAGATTCTTAAGATACTTTGGTATTTTATCTGTCTATCTTTGTTCATCTCTATTTTTCCTTATTCTATTTTTCTCTCTCCCCACCTGCTGCTCCATCCAAGTGAGAACAGTGTCTGAGACAGCACTTTCTCATGCAGGTTGGGCAGCCTGGAGAATGAGGCATGCCACCCGCTTGACACTTTGGTTGTTTTTAGTCCCATTCTTTTACTAAATGTCTGATGGGGCAAGAGAAGATGGTAAGGGAAAACTTTGGGAGCGACCTCCTGGAGCTGTTGTAACCCACTGCCCTGGGCATTCACCTCACTGGCTGAGATGGAAAAGTACCATTCTCTGCGTTTTGCTATGGCTTCTCCTGACTCCCCTTCTTCCCTCTTTGCTCCTCTCTCTCTGCGTCAATGTCTCTGTCAGTTGTGGTGACTTTCCATAGCTTCCCTTGCAGCAAAAGGTCTTCCCTTCGTTGCTGAGTGATTCTACCTTTCCCTGAAGGGCACATGGCTCCTTGACCACTTCTGTGCTGAACTTAGCACAGACAGGAGCATGGGTGCTAATTGCCTGTGGCTCAAATAAGTTACTCCCAGAGGATGTGATGGTGGTGGTAGCTGGGGGAAGGAGAAAAGGGGGAAGCAGTTTGGCAGGTGCCTGGGATGTTTTGTAAGGCAATATGCAAGTAAGGATTCAAAGCTCAGATTTTTCTTGACATAGCCACTAATACAGAGGTACTGGAGAAATTGCAGGTATTACGTTGTGGCTGGATGTCTTTTCTAGTGGGCTTCTTTCTCTTGTCCTCTGGCCTTCACACCTGTAGTACCTTGCCTAGGAAAACTCCTGAGGAAAGAGGGCAGCCAGAGGAGCTTCCAGCATCTTCTCATTCCTCACCCCTCTTCCATTCTCTGGGCACCTTGTTGCAAATGATACTGATACCTACAGAGGGCAGGAACTGGTTAGCTCTCACTTCTTCCTGTCAGGACCATGCTAAAATCCAAATCTTGCAGAAAAATGATTTTGTGGCTACTGGGTGAAAGAGACGATGCATTTTTTTTGTTTTTAATTTGCGTTTCACTTGTGATGAGAACAAATCTAATGACTGTGACTGTTTTTTTCCCTGCTGGGGAACTGAGTGAAAAATATTCTAAAATTCTCCTGATGTAAATCAGTTAGTTTGTAAAAGAGATAGTATCCATCTGATTAATCTGTCAGTTTGGTGACTTTTAGGTTTGTTACATAAATTCAGTAACGGAAGGATTTTCCAGGTATTTTTTTCAGTGATTTTAATGAAGAACTCAGTATTGTCAATGAGTAACTATTTTGTTTTTATTGAGAAAATGCCTTCATAGCCAAGATCCTTATCTTTTAAGCTTATGTAAATATACAGATGAAACATTTTTAAATGGAAACTTTTTGAAATTTTCACCCCTCACTTAAAGGTCAAAGTGAACTCTAATCTCAAGCTGGTATCTCTGATAGATGCTATCTGGAGTGAATGCAAAGTAATGTTTCAATCTGAGCATGTATGTAGGAATGTGGGATATTTGTAATTCATGACCTGAATTGAAGCTACAAATTAACTTGATTCATTAATCTTTCTTTTTTTCCTACCCCCTTTCTTAGTATTTTGGGTTTGTATTGTACAGAACTATGCTTCCAAAAAACTGTACGGAGCCAACACAACTCTCTTCGCCTTTAAATGGAGTCCATGACCGTGCCTATGTCTCTGTGGATGGGGTAAGCATTGTCTGTTGGTCTCTGTTTCTGTAATGGGTGGCTTTCACCAAAGACATGGTTACAGTCTGTCTTTGTTTGTTTCTCCTCCTCTCTCCAGCTTACCAAAATAACTGTATTACATAAGCATATTAAATAAGATGGAGGAAGGAAATACACAGTTGATTCATACTAAGTGTCAATACATATTTCAAAAATATGAATATGTATCTATCATTTCTAAGGAAAATGTAATGGTTTCCACTTTTGAGATACTTGAATATTGATGTAGGCTCGTGACTTCAGCGGAAAAATACCTAGAAGAAGGGCTTAATTGCAGGTTCATGAAATAGTTTTATAATATGTTTATGCTTGGCAACTTTCTAAAGAGTTTCCATTCTTTTTTTTTTTCTTTTTCTTTTTTTCCTTTGAGGGTAAGGGGAAGTGGAAGCGTGAGCCTACATCTTACGTTATGAAACTGACTTCTGACCACAAATGAAAAAAAAGAAGTATAATGTACAGGATGTAGACTTTACCTTTCTTCCCTTAAGCGGGGGTTTGTTCCTGCTTAATAAGAATTAATACCAATTCATGGGTTTTGATAGCCTAGTTCTTATGCAGATCTGCACAGATCAAAGAATAACCTTTGTGGTCATGCCCAGCTCTTCTTTCCTAATTTGTGAAAATGAGAATAAATAAAGATAAATATTGATGGGAGCTTAATTGGAGGATGAATCGTCTTTTAATCTCTGACATTTGCAAAATCTTTTCAATCATCTAGATTTAATTTTGACAACTTGCTTTTTGTGAATCAAGTGTGTCGGAAAACACTAACATTCTAAAGTTGATAGTTAGCTGAATTAAATATACCTTGCATTTGAGGAAAGTGATGGCTTCAGTTTTCTAAATGCTGCCTAGTAACATATCCAGTTGGCTTGCTGAAATGTGAAGACTGACATAGCAGCTTGCACTGTGTGCTTGCTCAAGTGAGAGAGGAGGAAAGGGAGATAATTTCTTTTTTCTACTTTTGTTTCCTTCTTCCCTTTCTTTTCTTCGTGCAAGCTGAAAAGACAAATAACAACAGGTTATTGTCCTTTTTCAGTGGTTATTGTTTTCTTTCTTTTGGTATAATTCATACAGGTTCCTCAGGGTGTCCTTGAAAGGGGCGAATCGCTTACAATAAATATAACTGGAAAGGCTGGAGCAAATCTGGACATCTTGGTAGAGAACATGGGCCGAGTCAACTTTGGTCGATACAATAATGACTTTAAGGTAAGTAAAATCAGTTAAGCACCTTTTTTAAAAAAGAAAGTACTGGGTTGGAAAGAGTAGAAAGATCAGGATTACACAGCTGTAACTTCACCTCAAAATCTAACTACTCACTAGTTTTTATTTGAGTCTTTCTGTCACCAAAATCAAAGTGGAATTAAAAACTGACAGACGTCTTTTAATGTTTTTTTTTTTGTTGGTTGACTTGTGCTGCCAGCCAAAGTGTCGCCCACAAGCCTTTCAGGATGAACTGAACACATAGCTAACATTCTAAGATGTGCAAAGCTATTAGGATAAGCCCAAAAATAGGTTGGAATTCCACCTAGATCATGGCCTTACTTTGAGGCTTGTGAATCCTGGGGGTGTATTTGTGTGTGTGTTTGTGTGTGTGTACATTTGTATCTCTTCCCACATCCAGTTTCATTTATCAGCAGTGTACCCTTGCAAAATTTTCAGGCTGTCTCACAAGCAGTTTACCAGACAAAATTTCCGGCTCGGGTTTGGATTGATTAGATGTTAGGAATAACTATCAGAAAGCCTCTGAATGCTTCTGAATCCATGCTGCACTTGGGAACTGTCACCTCCCCTCATTAGTGGTGATGTCACTAAAGTAACACTGGGAAGGGCAGGGGCAAAAGGGAAACTTTCCTTGTTTTAGAATTAATGGGATCCTCAGTGCTGTGTGAGGTTTTCTAAAGAGAAGGGGGAGAGAAAAGTATTGTAGTTACCAATTTTTTATTGTGTTTCTGCAAGGTTGAGTGCTAAGGGGTGCTAGTCTTTTTTTTAGTTTTTGATGTTAACTGGGTTATAAATAATAATGAAGTAATGACAGAAAGCTTTACCTTTGAGAAGAAATTTGCGAGTCCCTAACAGCAAGAATATCTATTAGACTGCCCCTAGATTTGACTTGGCCTAAATTGATTTGGCAGTGTTCTTTTGGAAACCTTGTCAAAAGTTTAATGACTGTCCAGTTTAATAATTGCCAGGTGAATTAGAAGCTCATGTTTCCTCTCGATCTAACTTCTGTTCGTTAGGTGTCTCAGAGGAGAATTAAGGCTTATCCAAAGTACTCATTGATTAATTTGGATGCAAGAGCAGGAGGAAGAGGAACATCCGGTAGAGGGCAGTTGCCTGAACAATACTATTTAGTTATCTAGGAAAGGCATGTATGTGGTGTAAGGAAGTAGGATTTTTAAGGTTGTACATAGAGGAAGAAGGTAAAATAAAGTGCATGTACCTCTTGACTCACTTTGCTGATGAGACCACAAACTCTGGTCCAGCCTGTGGTCCCGTTACAGAATCCAGTTCAGTCATAAATAATTGGTTGGGAAGGGTCTTGCAAGATCACCCTTAGGCAGCATCTCCCATGTTCATAGTTACGTTTTGCTCCCATGATTATGAAGGGGCTGTTTGCACTGCTAAAGAAGGATATATTGCTTATGATTAAGCAGCGTAGAATAACTTCAGCTCAGGTTTGATTTTCAGGGGACTTAACTGGTTGTTACGTTCTTAAGTGTGTTGTGACGAGGATTTCTAGGTGTGTCTCCAGTTATACTGAGACTCTAGTCTAGGCAAAGCAAAGTACTTGTCAGCATTTGCTAAGCTCTTAGCCTGCAGGCTTACGCTGTATTGAACAGCAGTTTGTCCTGCCTTAGATTTTAGAAGACAAAGAGTTCTTTAAATCCTAATCAAGGCAAAAATTAATATATATGAGAGGTAGGGCTGTGGGAACTTTTAGGGTGTTTGAAAGGCCCTCAATTAAAAGCATCAGCAACCGAGTCGTCACTGTGCTTGTGGCATATACAAATCCAGTGGACAGCAGTAGTGCCAGCTCTGTCTCTGCTGTCTTTTCAAGGTACCTGGCTTTTTATCTGAGTAGCAAAGGAGGGCAGCTAGTTACCCAATGTTTCGCCCTCGTACACATTCAGCACAATGTACTTTTTGGTGTGGAGGGGGAACAGTCGAGGTGATAAATAAACCTGTGCACTGAGTGCTAAATGAAGGTAACAGAATAAAAGGTTAGAGGTTGGATTAAGCAGGTGTTAGGTGTTGCTGTGGTTGAGTTGAAATTCACACTTACATCAGTATTCAGCCTTTAAAAGATTAAGAATGAAAGGAAGTTTAGCTGGGCACGTGCAATCCTCTGAAAGCAGGATCCTTGAAGGTAGGAGAGCGAGTCTTTCTCAGGTAGCTCCTGGAAACGTGCATTGCTTCTTTACATAGAATGCCTCACTCTCTTCCTTAAGGCAGGTGTTCTTTGTGTTGATTTTGAAAACTAGGAATAATTATGCCTTGATTTTTAGGGTTTTTACGCATGTTGTGACTTGGCAAGGTGGGACTGTCATCCCTAAAGTTATTTTTGAAATTCTCCATTTTTAAGCAAGTATAATGGCTTTTGTGGGTTTTGTTTGGCTATTTTTTTTTCTCACTTTTTTTATTTCCGTTTGAAACGGACCATCTAGCTTTTGGGAAAGAATATCAAAAAGCTTTTGGTTTTAAACATCCTGCTGATCTAAGTCTTGTTGTTGAAGGACACAAAGGAAGCAAGAGCGTGGTTTTAATTCTTTTTCTTTTTTACATGCTCACTGCCACCTCTATCTTTGTTTCTCTTGGAAATTTCATCTCCGTATCAGCACCTTTGAATGTGCATTCAAATACAGACAAAAGTGAGCATGGTCAGTAGGCACTTGAGATCTCCTTTGAAAATCACACCGTTCCTAGTGCTTAAAGATGGATATAGGGAGAGAGGTTAGAAAGTTTTGGCCGAAGTTGTGTTGCATTACTTCAACTGATTATCAAACAGAGCAAAGCCTGGGATCTGCAAGAAAGTTCTACCATTTATTCTCAGTGCAGTTATTTCATTCTGATATAAGAAAAGTAAGTTCCTGTTCTTTGAAATGGGCATCTAGGTAAAGGAAGAGAGAAATCCTGTTAGCACTTATGCTGATGACCAGGCTTGTGAAGTCAGTGCGATTCTAATTAGATGTCAGAGAACAGACAGGTGACGCAGTGTTAGCCCTCCAAGACCATAGAAAACATGGTGTTGCTTTTGCCTTTACTCGCATAACTACTTGTTCCTGTCCAATTTGCAATGTTTGCAAGAAAACTTAAGTAACATTGAAAAGCAGCTTCTATGCAAAGCCTATTCAAAGAGTTATGTGGGTGTAACAGTGTTGGTTTAAAATCAACACTTTATGTTGCACTAAAGCACAACTTTAGAACTCATTATTATTACATGATTAGGACATGTATGTGGGAGTGACTTAATATTCCTGCCACTTTTTTTAGTGCATGGCCTTACCTTGCCTTTGCATTCACTGTGTGAATACCCTGCTGTGCTTCAAGGGTGCCCCCAGTTCCATAGAAACAAAACAAGACTTGTGGTCTTGAAGCTGACTTTAAGCTTAAAGTATTTCACTGCATCAGAGCCACAAATCATGTGCCTTGAAGAACTGATTTTTTTGATACTGTACGTTAGCTATAGTAGATGTATAGGAAGTAAATACCACTTTCTCCGCTATTGTGCGGGTTAATGGCTTGAGTTAGTGACTCAGTGTTACCAAATCTTTTGACTGCATCTCAAGACTTAAGGTGTTTAGTGCTTTTTCTGCTTGTTATTAAGCCCCAACTTTTGGAGTCCTGTCTTCACGTTAAAGCAAAATAGAAACCTTCACAGTTGTGGGGAAAAGGTTTGAAAAAGAAGCTTGGACATCAGGAAAAGCTTAAAATTTTGAAGAGGAACAGATCTTTCACAGAGGATAAATGAAACGTTTTATCTTTAAGCAAAGCTTATAATTTAGAGAAGACCATATGCTTTGTTTTTTTCATACCCCGATTAGCAGTTATTTTAACTACCTTGCTTCAGCCAAGGTTTCATTCTCAACTTTATAGTTGCAGCCAAATAACTTCAATAACATGAAGCTAATTATGTTATGTTTTTTCTTTTTTTTTTTTTTTTTCCTTCCTCCTAGGGTTTAGTTTCAAATTTAACTCTTGGTCAAGATATACTTGTTGAATGGGAAATCTATCCTCTAGATATAGATGGAGCAGTGAAGCATGACATTAATGGCCAGCCTGAGCAACTACAGAGATCTGTTGGTAATCCATCGAGTTATGAAGCGCCCACGTTTTACACTGGTAGACTTTCAGTCCCTAGTGGGATTCCAGACTTGCCTCAAGACACCTACATCAAGTTTCCTGGCTGGACAAAGGTACAACCTTTTACAGTAAAAACTTGAATTCTGTTCAGAAAGCTAATGAAACTTGCATGAAAGGTCAAAGTCTACCTCTCTTGGATCAGTTGAAGTAGGTTGTAGTTGTGAGGTGTATCAAATGTATTTAAATGACCAGGGAATGGATTCCTTGCTTTAAGTAAATCGGGAGATAAATCATTAAGAGGAGGGAAGCATACATGTGAAATATGTGTGGTATTGGTCTAGAAAGGGGAGTGTCACAAAAATTAGTTTTCTAGCAGTGAGGAAGATGACCTGTCAGGCTATTTAGAAATGCTTTTTATGTGTGTTTTTTTTTTTTTTTTGACCTGTGCTGTGGAGTAGATACAGCTCTTTAGAGGGAAGGAGTGAATGCATGTCTTAAGATAAAAGAATTTTTATTCTGGGAAAAGTGAGATGCTAAAGGCCATTTTCCTGGCTTTGAAGATTGATTAAAGGTAACTAAGAACATGTTTGCAGGGCTGTGTGAGGACCTATGGATCCCGTTACAAATCATAGGGAGAGTTAAGCTGCAAATGCAACTGCTGGTGAGGTGCCCGTAAATGTGGGTCTAGTGTCTGGAAGATGTTTTTGCCTGTCTTCTGGAGGTTACCCAGAAGTGGACTGAATGCATCAAAGAGCACTGCCATGAGAGGCTTGTGGGCAGGTCTCTGTTAATGGGAACTTCTGATAGGGTTAGTGCATAACTAGAGCAGAGGAGAGCGTGTTTTCACAGTGCTAGGTTTGAAACAGCCAGCATGCAGGATGGGTAAGGACCAACTCAACTAACCTGTGGGAGGCACTGGCAGCAAAATGTGTGCATTGAAGTGTCACTCCTTTTAGAATGGCATTTAAATCCAGGCTTCAGGGAAGTTCCTGTTTTGGAGTTAGATGGCTTAGCTAGTCCTTTCTGAAGCAGTTTGTTTGCTTATTGCTATCAAAATAGAGTAGGTGAAGGAAGTGTTGGTGATCTATATACAGCATTCTAGTGGTTAGAGCACTTCCCAGTATGCAGGAGACCCTGATTCACTGCTGGTATTTAGTGTTGCCAGCCCTGAATATGAGGAAGTCTGACTTTTGGTCCTTGTTCCTCTATCTGACACAGCCACTGAATAAAATCCAAAAATAGTCCTTTGCACAGAGACTGGAATCTGGGACCTCTGCAATAAATTCTGTCATCCAGCGAATCACAAATTCCTTTTTGAATAGTGGCTTCTTTCAGGAGGAGAGATTGACCATACCTGCCTGCTGGTAAAGCCTGCTTTGAAATGGGAGATGAATCCAATAAGTCTTACGTGTAGGTGGGAATCTCTTCCTTTGATCTGTTGAAAATAGTGACCTCTATTTTACGTAATACCTGATCCTCTAAAGGGGTCTAGGTAAAGAGATCCCAGATGAACTGTAAGTATAACTGTTGAATTGATCCTTTGGGCTTTATAAGGTAATGGAGATGCAGACAGAGCCACAGCTTTAAATCGCAAGATATCCAAGAGTAGTAAGACTGAGATGATGCTGGGTGCAGGGCAGGGAGGCAGGCAGAAACTGAGACTTCCAGATAACTTTACCAATGAGTAAGTGCCTGTAAACCACAGGGCAGTAAAAGTTTAAATTCCAGTCAAGTGGATCCCATTGGATCTGGGCCCTAATTCCTTGAGCGGCACTGCATAAATTGCTAATGCCAAGGTGAGGAGAGGGACTCTTAATAGGAGTTAAAACCAAGGTGTCTGATTACTTAGAGAACTAGGCAAATGGCACTTATTAGGAAAACATGCAGATCTAATGTTGATCCTACCTCAGCACGTTAAGGAAAAGAATGATATGCTGGTGAGCCAGGCAGGCAGGTGCAGCATTAACAGTCGTGACCTACGCTGTAGATCATTTGCATCAGTGGTTTTTGAAACCTTCATTACTGACAAAGCTTCTTCCACTGTCACTTGAGGAAATGCAGTGCATTTAAGTGTACCTGCCCTTGGATGTACAGCTAGGTTTATCGGTTAGGTTTACTGGATTTTTTTTTTTTTTAAATCAAAAAGGGTATTTTGGAGTCATGACTGTTTTTCTTGACTCCTCTGGAATCATGGATTTAGTTGCTGACCCCAATAAAGAAAACTTCTTGTTTCTGAAGGTGGAGATCCCCCTCCTCCTTTATTTTGTCTAAGGTGTGTTTATTGGCAGTGTACATGATGTGATTCGCTGGATTTTGGACATGTGAATTTGTAAGTATTCAGTCTTTAGAAATTGCAGTGTTAAGGCCAGTTTGGATTTGAGAACTTAAGTTCATAGCTTTCTTAGAAAAATGAGGTATAGCCAGTGTCTGATTAAGAACAGAAGAAGGGACTTATCTGATCACACCTCCTGCGTTAGGACTTCAGCGCAGCTGATTTCTACACTAAACTCCTATTTCATATAGGGCTGGGATCTATGGTACACTCGCTAATTCATCTTGCATGTGGAGGGAGCTTGCATGAATGCCATCTTTTCTCCTAAAACTAGTGCAAAAGCTTAATAGTGAGGTTGAATAAATAGTTCTTCTCTTGCCTTTTTAATACTGCAAAAACAAGCCACAAAGCAAGATAAATCTGATTTAAAAAAAAAAAAAAAAGATATGAGGTTGAAGTTTATTAACACCTTGGTAGAACTGTGCAAGATAGGATCTTATACCACGGAAGTAGATAGAGAGCTGAAATAACACCTGCATTTGCAAATTTACCAACTCTTTATAAAATTTCTCTTGCAAATTTCCTAAAACTTGTTTGCAGTAAGAAAAAATTATTTTTCAATGCTTGAAAAGGAAAATGCAAGAAAAAAGCCCTTGAAACATCTTAAATGGTAATAGTCAGTATACTACAATTGTGCTTCTGTAAGTCCTTAAAAATGTTATTGTAATTTCAGCTATCCTAGACAATTTTAGAAGTCAGGAGTACAGTAACAGTTCTTACTTTCTAGGGACTCAGACCGTTTTATTATTCATATCAGTGTATGCCAATGCCATGAAGTTGTTTATTTTTCTTCTATATTCTTAACTACTAAAGACCAAAGCAAGAGAAAAGCACAGATGAACTTACTTGTTCCCATCCCTTTTCATGTTTAATGAAGTCTTAATTGTTTGGCATGTGGTGGAAAGGAGGCCTGTGAGGAGCATAAGCAAATTATTTGTTTAAACCAGCCGAAAATCCTCCTTTGTGTCTTGTTTAATAAACCAAGATTCAGCTTGACCCAGTATGAGTCCATTTACAGTTTTGTTCTGAACTTTCTGCAGCTCATCAGTCTAAAGACTGTTGGCAAAGTATGCGTTTGTGTCACTTTATGGTGACATAAATGTATAAATGTGTAAATGACTATTGTTTTTCTTTTACTTGCCTAATTTTGCTTTATTTTTTAACTTTAGGTATTATAATGTTAGATAGGTATTTTGAACGAAGGGATTCTGGCTACCTCCGTTATAAAAAGTCATTTTAAAAGTTTATATTCCAAGTTAACCACAATTTGATTGAAATTAAATTCATGACAGAACTCCCCCCCCCCACATTTTAACGGTCAAAAGTAACTAAAACAAAATATAGTATTCTCTTGTAGTGTGATTTCACAGGTTCTTTTATTGTCTAAGTAATCTGATTATAATAAGCATCTGAATTTCGTATGTCTAAACAAGCTATGCATCTTTTTCATAAAATTATACAACGTGAAGGGTCTACCAAAATAGTGTAGTCTTACACTTTTACAAAAAGCCACAACACAGAATTAGGATTTTCCCTCTTTTTTTGTGACTTCTTTCTCTTTTTAGCAATCGGCTTCAAGCAAATACATTTTTCAGGTTTGCTTTAGTCTGAAACTTAATGCAAAATTCAGTGACAGGAACCTGCCATTTTATTTTCCTAAGTATTGCCATATTTGGAATGACTGCAGTATTTGACCACTTCCATTTTAATTATTAACAATGATTTTCACTCATCAAGGAATCTAGATTCATTTGTCTGTTTGTACTATTTTCTTGAGCGTATTTTCTGTCCTGGTGTTTAGCTCTATCAAACTGAGAGATCAAGAAAACTCAGTTACTGTGCAAAGAGTGTTTCGCTTAATGAAGTTCTATAGTCAAATGATCGTTGTCAAATTATTAAAACTTGCTTATGTTTTTTTTCTCTTTTAACAGGGGCAAATTTGGATTAACGGCTTTAATCTCGGTCGCTACTGGCCGGCCCGTGGTCCTCAGTTGACCCTTTTTGTTCCAAGCAATATCCTTGTTTCTTCGGTGCCAAACAATATAACGGTATTGGAGCTGGAGAGTTCACCTTGCAGCACCCAGATGTGCGAGATAGAGTTTGTAGATAAACCTGATATCAATGCAACCACACAATATGAAAACGATGCCTCTCCACTCTTTGTGAGGGACACATGGTTGAATCATCTATAACGATTTGAGTATTTCCTTATCTTCCCCAACTTTGTTTCCCTTTCCCTCCGCCATACTTCCCTTTTTTAAAAGAGTCAATGTTAATCAGTAAGCTGTTTAGCTGAGGCAGGTTTTTAAATTCATAATATCCATTTTTGGTTGTTTTTAAATTAACAAGAGTTAAATACAGAAATTGTCTTAAAAAAAGAAAAGCTGTAGCTTTAAAGTTGACCTTGGAATGAGAAACTGAACCTGGGTGAAAGATTATGTTGGCATCAAGGTCTCATAAAAATGTAGCGCTGTAGACTGTGCTTGCATTACAAGGACCCTCTTACACTTTTCTTTACCAATTTTTGCAACTGGAGAGAAGTGTACAAAGCGGTGCACAGTCCCATCAGCCTGCTGTTTGTTCACAGGTGCTTCGGAGAGGCTGGTGCTTCAGAGTTAACAGTACACTGTCAGTGTTTTCAGCCAGCTTCTAATATCTGGTTAGCGTCAGTATTGTTTCAATCTACACTGACTTGCTGCCGGTGTTGAGTGGATCTCATCTTCTCTTTTCATCGCCATGTAAGTGACCTTTGAAAAACTGGAGTTAGTTTGTTATGGGAGCAGTGACAGGAACTGAGGGAAGGAGCACTCAAGTGCAAGCTGCTCTAAAGAGCAGCACTGTGGATGTTGGAGGCTGTGGTCACCGTTCGGCAGCTGTTCCCTCTTGAGAATGCTAAAAGCCAGTTTACTGCTTCCCTTCTGTTATCTCTGAAGAATTAAGAATCAATTCGTAGGTGCAGGGACACAGCTGAAATTTAGGCTCTCTTGATTGGACCATAGCCTCTGATTAAAGTCTTAAAATGAGCCATTTCAAATTGTCCTTATAATGAATTTTTTTTTTTTTAAATAACGGACTTGGAACCCCTGCCTTCATAGGAAGCCAGAGCCTTGGAAGCCGACGGTTTTAAGTCACAGCATTTAATTCTTTATTAGTCACTAACTGACATTTTATGTTTTGTTCCAGTAAATTAATGATCTTTGTAAGTGCCTGTTCTTTGCAAAGATGCAGAATCACTGTCGGGAAAGCTGACTTTCTATTATCAGTCTGAACCTCTTTGTTTTGATTCTCATGGTTTTAAAGTCAACCATGCAAAACTTTTTGGTGAAATTTAAAGGAAAAAAAACTGAGATGATGAAGTTAGATATTTTCATGATCTGTCAAGTTCATGAATTTGTATGACATTATTAAAATGATTCTTTAAAGATGAAGTCCTTTCTGTGTTTGTTTGGGAGGGGAAAACGGGAGGAGGAAGTGTTATGAGCAATTAGAGTATGAAGGAGAAATGGCACTGTAAAGTCTCTATGGACAAGGATTTCATGCTAATGCCATAGGACAGTCTCATTTGTTTTCTGTATTGGGAAGATTTGCGTAAAGCAAAGCAAAACGAAGCAGATGTAGTAGGCTGCAAGGATCCCAGAGTTGTCACCCTTTTCTGAAAAGGCTGAGGTGAAAGCCTGACTATTTCTTCTCTGTTAATGTCTCCTGAAGATAGTGAAAAGCAGCACCATTCCCTTGAGTGTCTCCATCTCTCTCTGTGTTTGGTGTTTGACCTGTGTTTGGTGGGCTGCCTGCCTTAGCGGCTTTCCAGCTCAGGCAGCTGTGGTTCACCTGAGCCAAACAGAGAGTTTATACTGTTAAATTCGTAGCTCAAATGCAAAGTCTTAGGGTCGAGGGCTGTGTGTACAGTAGCTGGACCTGAAATATTTCATTATTGGAATAATGTTCTATCCTGACCCCAGATTTTGTTTGTTTTTTTTCCTGGGCACCGTCCCTGTGCAGACCCTGGAACATGCTCTGCAATTAGTGTGGTAAAGGTATTAATTACCTCACAGCCAGGTCTTGAAAGTAAGGAATGGAACAGAATTAGTTTCATACCGGTTGTGGGGTTTGTGGCTTTAAGTGTGCAGAGTGACAGTAGTATTTAAATATTCCTACAACAGTTCAGTGCTTTAACAGCCAGGAGTATTTTTATTTTCCTGGCAGTTAGTGCTACAAGAGGAGTGGAAAAGAAGATCTACTCATAGCTCTTATTCTCACTTCATTTCGCTTTACATTGTAATCACAGAAAAGATAATTAGTGCAGTCTGTGACACCTTGCCTTTTGTTGTAACTATACGTGCAGTCTTACAGGCACAAAGACTTTGCATCAAGGATTGCAATATCCATCTGGATGGAAATGATGCTAACAAGAACAACACGGGAAAGAAAAGGTGTAATGTGTTTTTTTCTGAGTAGGGCTCTAGATAGCTTGCTTCACTAACCCACCTGCCTATTCACTGTTATCTGTGAAGTGATCTGTTGTCTACTGAAAGGAACTGAAAGTTGGGGCCCTGATTCCTAACCCTGATCTGCTCACAGGAAAACACTGCTGGAGGTTGCCAAGTGACACAGTGTTTATAAATACTTGAGCAGGCAGAGGGGAGATCTCTGCGACAATGGGCTTTCGCACATCACTAGAGCACGTTATGGGAGCCACTTACTATTTCTTTACCCAAGGATGTGGCTGTAGATGCGGCAGCAGGGTGTGTTGCCCTGCCTGTGTTGCACACTGGCTCCCCGTGCCTGCACCATTGCTGCTACTGCGTGGCTGGGGCTCATCCGGATTTCCTAGCCATGCAGTGCAGTCCTCCTGGGATTTAGTATACGGCACAAAATAGGACAGCTTGACATTTGTTCCTTTGCAGTCTCAAGAGAGTCGGTTATTTTGGCCTATTCTCTAATGAGGTTTTTATTGGCTGTCCTGGAGGTGTCAACGAAATCAGAAATGAAATATTTTGATAGAGAGCCAAACGCATAGCAGAAGAGTGGCTGTGGGGAGTTAGCAGGCGCAGTGGTCAGGGCACCAGCCAGCCTAGTTTCAAGTTGTTTCTGAAGAGCATGGAGCGAATGTATTGCCTGACCCCTGGTTCATATCTGCACTGTAGCTGCGTGATCAGCTCCAGATACTGAAGCTCAGCTGTACGGGCTGTCCAGCGGAGCCAGCTGTCCCCTGAAGGCATGGCAGGAGCGAATGTTTCCAGTACTAAAACTGCGGCTCCTTAAATGCTCCCTTCCTTCCTGTCCTTGGGACTTTGCAGGTGCTTCACTGGCACAGTGGCTAAATAATGGCCATGGCGTTCTCTGCTTTTGACAGAGCCGTGCAGACCTGGTCCTAGGAGTCAGAATCCGTCTGTGAGGAGAAATGGAGATCTTACACTGATCACAGGCAGAAAGCAAGTGTGGTCTGTGCAGTTGTGTGTGGCAATGCCTGCAAGGTGTAGGGGTAGCGGGCTCGGCTTAGCGCAGATACTCTTCCAGTCCTGAAGTGGTTTGTAAGCTTAAACTGTAAGCACGCCTACACAGGAGCAAAGGCCTTTTAAATGCGATTACTTAGGATGAATGAGCAAGTAGGTGAATTTGATGAACTGTGTGCACCATAGGGTTGAATTCTCTTTCTTAATCTAGGGATGAGACTGCTGTCTTTCCCATATGTTCATAATATAATAACCAAAACATGAGAGTCCCTGAATCGTGGGGCTGAGACTTGGCCTTGGCCACACCGCTGAGCCTCTCCAGCCCTTTGTAATTCTGCGTGACACAGCTTTCCTTAGCTGCCTGCTCTCCCAGCTCCTCACATGCGCTGCGTTTAGAGCGCAAGGGGAAGGCATCTACCCTCCGTCTCGGGTGGGCTTGGTCACTTTGATAAAATCAGCTAACTAGCTAGACTATTGCTGTCTCCTCATATTTAAATTTAGGATGTATCGAAATCACTGGGGGCAGTAGCATCTCACTTGTGTATAAAACAGACATTCCCTTCTCCTAGGAAGCTCAGTCTTACCAGCAAAATTTCTTCACACCTCTTCCCAGCAATGGATACAAATTCGAGCAAATAGCTTGCAGTGCTGCCAGATCCTAATCTGAGCCTCTGACAGCAACTTGGTTGTTTACTGGGCATTGTTATGCCTTTATCAATAGGAAGCTGTACTTGAAAGTGTTTGTTGGTCGCATGGCTTTGCAGTCACTCCCCATCTTCTTCCCTTTTCTGCTTGTAAATGCTGTGGCATAGCTTCCTAGAGGAAGCCCTAGTGACTGATGTACAGTCCCCACATTTTCTCTTTAGTCTGTTTTTGTGTGCAATGCATCTCTGTCCGTCTGCAAACACCATTTTAACAGATAATAAAAGAAGAAAGATTTGTGAAAGATGATGTAGTCACAAGCCTCTCTGCCCTAAGGCAATATCACCTGTACCTAAAGTATACCCAGTGTTTTTATCTGACCTGTTCTTCAAAACATCCTGTGCAGGTGACCCCAGTCTTCCCTAGGCAAGCTGTTCTAGTGTTTTGTGGTTAGAAAATGTATCAACAGCTGACTGAAATCTTCATTACTATATATAAGCCCATTATCACTTTTACTGTCCGCAGCCACCAAGAAGTACCTCTTTGTGCTGTGAGACTGTTCTAGGACTTCTATCTTCTTATCTCCATGATGGACTGGATTTATACAAATATTAAGAGGTGCAAAGCAACATAGAGAAGATTCAGCAAGGATATGAAAGGCGAGTATATCCTCCTGAATGACCTGCGGCTTCAACAGCTTTTCTGAAAAGAGTGACCAAGTTGCAAAAAGCTGTTTTGCAGGCCTGGACTTACAAAAGTGTGGTAGCCAACCTCTAGATCCGAACAGAAGGTTCGTGTGACAAAGGGAACTGGAAGCTACGGAAGAATGTGGTCTGCTTTGATGGTTCTCCCTCAATAAGAACACAAAACTGGGCAGGAAGAGATGATCTTGGGACTCAATGCAAAGGACTGAATGGAAGAAAATGTTGGAAAAGGTATCAGAGGGATAGTTGTCCTGCTTTTGCTGAATAAAGTGAAAAATCCCATTTCAGAACTACTTTTTGTTGTTTATTATATTACCAAGAAGGGGAGTAGTGAACCAGAGCCCTCAGCTTTAGGGGAGATCTGGATGGGGTGTGTTACCTATGGGGAGGCTC